GTGACTGAGATGAGGGCCGATCGTTGGGTCGCGCTTAGCTTTTTGAGATTCCCTTCCGTGCATAGATCGGACCATCCTCTTGCCGCGTACGTGACCGTGGGAGTAAACACGGCGTGATAAATTTCCCGGTGGGCGCAGTGACGGAGTCCCCATTCCTTAGCTGCTAATCTACCTAGCTTTGCGAACAATGGACCGACCTTATCATTAAGGTAACGGCAGTGTGTCGTGACACTCAGCCCTTTGTCGAAGTGTACCCCGAGGTATCTAACAGATTTTCTAAATTTAGTATTATTGTCTTCTATCTGTAGTGATTATATACTCTACTAGCTTTGTTGTCTTTGTTGTCGCCCTTCAAGAGTGCTCTTAAAGAGCCCTCTTTCCAAATAGATGGAAAGATATCCCATTGAAGGCATCCGTTAAAGAGATCACAATGTATGTTGTGTATTATCATTTAAATGAAAAAATGTAAAAATTTATTCAAATCGCATTCTGGACATAGTTGCTCGAAATATTGATGCTTCAACTAAAGGATCCGTTGACCAATAATCTCTCCAATGAGATTTTCTGGTTTGGCCCATCAATATTAGTAATCCAAGAAACTTTTTTATTTCATTAGTGGTAACCTCCGTCCATGGTACCATTTTTGCAGAGGTTTTATGTAATCCTTTCATTTGAGAATGGTACAAATTGGTCTGCGTAACAACTAAATCAAAAAAACCACTATCAAAAAATAAAGCCATTACCTCACTGATAGTCGGCGCGTCATCAAGTTCAATAGTTGCACCAAGAATATTTAAATAATTCTGTTGTTTTGGTGTAATATCATGCTCGTTCCATTGGAGGACGTTCTTCCTCCAATTCTTCGTCACCATCAGATTCTATTATATTTCTTTTTTGATATTTTGGTGGTCTAATATTAGAGTCACTATCTTCTGATACAGTATCATTTTCAAGTTTACCACAATTTGATTCACAATTACTTGGACAATCAGATAAATCATCCGTGTTTAATTCATTGAAAGAATCTTCATTACGTTCCGTCATCGTTTTTTTTAAATTTTTACTTATTAAATTTTTTAACAACAAAAGATTTGGCGGGACTTACAAGTGAGAGAAATAGCTCATGTATTACTGACCAACAATTTCACTGTATAGTTGGCAACAGAGAAAACAACGGCGATGTGAAAAAAAAACGCATCACGAGTTTACTCGTTGCCGGTCAACAACGTTCGGCCATGAAAACACGAATTAACTCGTGATCGGTCAACAATGTGTTAAGCACTAAAACTTGTAAATAAAATTTTCATATATTATTAAGTATAGGAGTAAATGAGCACTTATGCTTACGTACTACATAAATTTTTGTAAAACTTTTATTAATCAAAGAAACATACAAAATAAAATCCTAACACAATTATATGACACATTCGAGCCCTATGTAAAGGGAGTCTCTATTATCACAAACTAACACTATTATAGAGCATACAATAGCAAATAGGTAATAAACATGTAAGCGATAAAATAAGGAGATGAAAAGAAAAAACTAAAAAAGTTATAGAAAGCGATGCCGAACTCCGACAAAGTAAAAGGGACGCAGAAACTCATGGAGTTCGAAGAAGCGAAACTATCGCTCAACGTACGTGTTCTCCGGGTGGAAATATCTAAAATTTCGTCCCCCATAAAGCAACGTCAAATTCCGGAAAAGGAGAAGGGACGCAGAAATCTAAAGAAATAAGGAAACGAAACTACCACCCGTCGTACATGTTTTCCGCATAGGAATCTCCAACATTTCCATTCCCACCACGGCAGCGGCAGATAGATTCATCCCCACTATGCACGGTGGCTTCATTCCCATGGTGGCGCTAATTCGAGCCTGCAGATCGACGGAGGATTTAAGCGGCTCCATCGCTAGTCTCCGTGGTTATATTGTTGCATTTCTTGACCGGAACACTTCTCTCCGATTATTATATTGATTCATTTCTCGTCGAGGATACTTCTCTCCGATTATATTGCTTCATCTCTCGACGATTAAACTTCTCTTCGCGACTAAACATTGGTCTTAACTTCGATCATACTAACGCAGCCTTCATACTAACGTTAGTCTTGTTTTATACTTAGAAATTTCATCTACACTGTATTTAAATACACCGTACTTTAAAATTTTAATAAATTAGTTTGTTAAGTTTTAAACCTTATCGGTCGTTAGTTTTTCATACGTGATTCTCACTAGATTGTACCTTGTTTCGGTCAATATGAGAAAAATTTTCAGTATTATAAGAATAACATTTTTGTTAGAAATTATTTATTTTTTGAAGGTGTATTACAAATATATGAGTTTCAAATAATCATTTATAAGTTTTTAACGTATGATATTTTTTGAAACAGCCTCCAACATGAAGGAACGGTTTCCTGTTGCATGTTTCACAGAAGTATACTGTTGTTTTTAATGTTTTGCATAAAAAACAATACATAGATCCAAATTGGTCTGCGCGGTCCATCACTCCGCCCATAAATTTATTATAATTCAATACTACTTCAGGTTTCTTAAGCTCTACATGATAGCACATGTTATTCTCGATACAGTTTTCATTGGCCCATTATCATATGAACTAAGCATGATAATAATTCGTTTGTCTCGCCATGATAAAGCTAACAGCTTACTTTTTCTTGAACGGAATCTGATAACATTTCCAATTTTAGAATTCGGTTTTCTTATTTTTCTTGGCAGAAATTTTCTATCACTTCTTATTGTGCCCGTTAAATAGCATTTCTTTTTAAGCAGTTCTTCAGCCAGTGGAACACTGGTATAGTATCTGTCGACATAAAGATGATATCCTTCGGAATTAAGGATTGATTCGAGTAGATTGTTATACAAATTCAAAACGATTCCAATTTTTCCAAACTGATCTGGCGGATAATTCTTTCTTTGCAATTTGCTCGTTCGCATATGAGTTTGTTTGCGTTATAATTTCCGTTATGAGTTCGTTAGTAATAAATTTTTTGAAGTAATCTATAGGTTGCTGCACATTTCCGAAAATTTGGCGATTAATATTTGTAAAAGAAATCCTATTAGGAAGATCATCATCATCACTCCCGATTTCAATCCAATCATCGTCTAAGTTAACATTTTCTATTTCTACATCATTTTCTTCGTCACTTGAATATTTTATGGGCATAACTTTTCTTTTCTTACGATGCAAAAACATCTGACTGCTAGTCTCATCGTTAGAATGAACATCATTTACAGAACTGCTTCCGAAACTTTCACTGCTATCATCACTATCGAAATTTCTACAATTTCCTTTATTCATTTTTGGGCTCAATATATTAAAAAAAGACAAAAGAACAGTGATATATCAGTGGAAATGTCAATTGCTCCGTTGCTGATGCTTAACTCACAAGTCAATAGTGCCCGTATTTCACAAGGCGCGAATTTTGACAGGTTGTCACCTCCCGCGTGACGTGCGACCGCAGCGACATAGTACTCTTGTCACATGAGAGGTGACCTACGACCTGTAAGGGTTAAATTCAGTGTTCATTCAATTAACCCTGGCTGTGCTTCCCAAGCAACTTCGCGTAAATCTAAAGTTAAAGTCACTAAATTCTCTCGCGAGTTCGAAGCTAAAGCTTTCATTATTCAAGTGAAAACCTTTGTTATCCTTTACTAGAGGTGCGTAATCGCACGAGTAAAGGCAATAACATCCTTACCCGATAACTAGAGATGCATACGAATTGCAAGAGTTATCGTAACCTTATCCAACACTCGACAATTCCGTTATGGATGGACATGTCCATACCGTCTCGTGCCTATCACTACTGAAGAAACAATCTACATCCCGAGGGACTTAGCACCATCCGATCCCAGGGCGAAGAACAGCCTGGAGTTTCCTGTCAACGTTACTGAGCCAGACGACCGCGTATAGATGTCCATCCCGTGCCACGAACTGCGCATAGCAGCTAACGGCCTAAAAGGACACGAATCTCACAAAGGTTGGAGCTCCTCAAGGTAAGTTCTGAACTTAAAAAAATTTTGAGGCCCGTACCGAGTGGGACGTAACACAAAACTGGTGACAACGGTGAGAGCTGCGAAATATACGCGATCTCTTCCGATAAGACCTAACGAGCAAGAGTTAGAAGACGCGCAGAGGAAACTGCTTAATTTCGAATCTCAATTAGTTGCACGCGAAGACGCGATGAGGCGCGAATCAGAATGAACGAAAATAGAAACAGATCATCTCATCTTCATGATGCAGAAAATTCTTACTATGACGGAACGAGACTCGCTCCAAATCCGATCAGCACTCAATAAATGAAGCATTAGGGATGATACCGCGTTTTGACGGGAAAAATATGCCTCTTACGTCATTCATCAAGGCATGCAAAAGAGCGCGTCAAATGATACCGGATTATCCAGAGGAACTATTCACCAAAGATGCTATATGGAAAATACACGATACCGCGTACAGCGCCATAGAAAAACAAGAACTTCATAACATGAACGCGTTATGTAATCGAATTCGACAGACGCTAGGAGCTATACATTCGGAAAAATTTTATAGAGCAGTGCTTAGAAATATTCTAATGCGCGAAAACGAGCATATGATAGAGTATATTGGTAAAGTGAGGGATCTACACTAAGCGCTTATGGAGGAAGAAGGATATTGGGAAGAAGCGTCCGAGGCAAAGAAAGCTGAGATCGATCAACTAACTCTCGATAGCTTTTGCGCCGGACTCCCCATGGACCAAGTCTAAAAAGATTTGGTCAGAGTAAAAATCTGTCAGATGCATGCGATAGAGCTATTGAGCTGCACTTCAAAATGCAGTATGAATTGAATAAGAGAAAAGCCGCGAAATCATGGCATTCGAAAGATAACAGCGAACGACCAGTTGACCATTACTACGATGAGTCGAGAAAAGCAGAAGGGATCAACACGCGAGTAGCACGAATTAACGACACGCGCGAAATCTGTTCAAATTGCAAGAGAGTACATACGCGGGACCGACGCTATAAAAACAGGCAAGAGTCGCAATGGCATGCTTCTACACACAGATCGTATCATCCCCCTTCTTATCCTTCTCGTCTACCTCACACATCTCGTAGCTGTAGGATCATTCCGCTCTCCTACTAAAGAGTATAAGTACTGTAAAAATTACGGGCATACAATCGAAGAATGTCGTAAAAAGAAGTGGCAGGAACACCAGTCGGGCAACGCGAGCCACCCTCCGACGAGAGACGCGACTTCGGGGGTAAGCGCGCAAACGCGTCAAATTATGACAGTAAGAACGGACGTGCCAACTACGTCCACACAGTCCGATTAAGCAGTAATCCGAGCTCATCTTCTGTCGTCATCTCTTCCAAAGACCTTAAGGGAGAAATAGAATTTTTAGTCGACATAGGGTCAGAGCCAAACATTTTAAAAATAGACAAAGCTGACGATTATTTAATGTCCAATGAAACAAACAAAATAAACCTAAGCGGAATTACAAAAGAAACGGTGGGCACGTACGGAACGTGCATCATCGACATTTATGGATACCCAGTAGAATTCCACATTGTTCCCGACTCTTTTCCCATCCCACATGGCGGCATTATCGGGTCGGACTTTTTCAAAGATGTTGCAAAAATAAATTTCATTAAGGAAGACGTAGAATGGCACGGAATGACTATGCCCTTCGTCAAACCGAAGGAGATTCCGGCGCGAACCAGCAATATAATAAAAATAAAAACGTTAAATAAAGAAAATAAAATACACTATGTGCCTCCATTAAAATTAGGAGAAGGAATCTACGTAGGTGAAGTCATTATAAACAGTAACAATGGAAAGGCCTTCATAAAAGTCTTTAATACGAAAGAAGAAGACGTAAACGTGATCATTCCAAAAATCGAACTTCAAGATTTCGATACGGTCGACACATGCATTATACCGAGTCCAGAACTTGGAAGCAGGGATAGAGAGAAAGAAGAAATAAGAGATTCTTATCTTTCCGTCAAAAACAACTCATCGAACCTGACTAATAAGTCCGGTATACAGACCTTATCTCCCCTAGGGCAAGATAACGACGCACGAGACATAGAACGCCTTATGCACGAGACCGAGATTTCGAAAGTTACGCAATCGACAAAGGCCGCCACGAGTCCTTCCCTCTCCCTCTCCTCTCACACTCGCTCTTATAAGCCAGTCACTAACACAACTAGCTACGCTATAGCATTACAAAATATAGATTTAAAATCATTAAACGCAGAAGAAATCAGAACGACAAAACAAGAGGATCGCTAGAGTTATTCCACCTACCGGGAGACAAACTCACATATATCAATACGGTAACGCATAAGATAGAAACGGTAGGTTCGACGCCAATCTCCGCTAAACAGTATCGCTTCCCTCCTGTTCACAAAGAAGAAATAAACAAACAGATAAGCGAGCTCTTAGGGAATGAAGTCATTCAGCTCTCGATGTCACCCTACAATTCTCCTATATGGATCGTTCCAAAGAAAGCAGGCGCCGATGGAAAGAAACGATGACGATTAGTAATCGACTATAGAATGTTAAATGAAAAAACAGTCAAAGATAGTTATCCTTTACTCAACATCACGGAAATATTAGACCAGTTAGGAAGCGCAAAATACACCAGCACGTTTGATTTAGCATCCGGATTCCATCAGAACGCAATGAGCAAGGAAGACGTTCCGAAAACGGCTTTCTCGACTCCTTACGGTCATTATGAATTTACACGAATGCCTTTCGGTTTAAAGAACGCTCCTTCTACGTTCCAAAGACTAATGAACTCGATTCTCACGGGACTGCAAGGAAATGAGCTCTTTGTTTATTTAGACGACATTATTATTTACTCCAGCTCTCTCTCAGAACACATTATTAAATATCGAAAATTATGCGATCGATTAAAAACCACAGGATTAAAGCTACAACCCGAGAAGTGCAACTTTCTTAGGAAAGAACTAACTTACTTAGGATACATAAATAAGTTCGGACGGTGTGAAACCCGATCCAGGAAAGATAAGAGTTGTAAAAGAATTCCCAGTACCACGCTCAGTTAAAAACATTAAGCAGTTCTTAGGACTAGCCGGTTACTACAGACGATTTATATCTAATTTTTCAGCGATAAGTAAACCACTCACAAACCTTTTAAAAAAGGATGTTTCATTCAAATGGGAAAACAAACAGGAGCATTCATTTAAAACACTAGTAAATCTACTATGTCAGGAACCACTTCTCCAATACCCAGACTTCTCGAAAACTTTCGTTGTTACAACCGACGCATCTAATTACGCTATAGGTGGTATATTAAGGCAAGGCGAACTAGGCAAAGATATACCTATTGCATATACGTCTAGACTTCTTAATCAGGTAGAACAAAACTATTCCACAATAGAAAAAGAACTTCTAGCTATCATTTACGCAGTAAATTATTTTAGGCCTTACCTTTACGGTACTAACTTTTCACTCGGTAACGAACCATAAACCATTAGTATGGTTAAATTCAGTCAAAGATCCAACATCAAGATTAATACGATGGAGATTAAAATTAGCCGAATATGAGTATAGTATAATATAGTATATAATATCTCGGATTGCGATGTGATAAACGAAAATATGTTTCTCTGTGAACAAAGTAATAAATCTTTATTTGTTAATTACTAGTTATTTACTATTTACAGTCTTACCTGTGAACAAAGAAACGACAATTAACGTTTATTATTCACACTTCTTAAATTTTATTTCTTTCTTTCTATCTAATGTATTTATATTTTCTGTTGTCTGTGTTTCTCTCTTTTGAGATGTCTGTAAGTTTTCATCTTGAGTTAGTTCGAATTTCTTTTCATATCTAACCCAATAATGAAATCTTCAAAGTCATTTCTTTCTACAATAAATACGTCAACGTATTCTTCTTTATCGAAAATTTTTATTTTAATGGTTACTACACTTTGATCTTAGCCATAGACCGAGAAAGTATACTTAAAGCAGGAAAAAGGAATGTGAACGCGGACGCATTATCGAGAAACCCCGTTGAAATACATAAACAAATACTCCCCATAGTAGGGACAAGCTCAAGTGAGGAAGAATTATACACGTCCAAGAATAAACAATCGCACCCTCAAGATAGAAAAACGAACGATACGCCATACGAAACCACTCAAGCCCCACTTGACGTAAACGACGAAACAGACGATACGAACGACGAAAATTCGACCGACGAAACATACTCGCACATCGGTAGAAAAATTATAGAAATAAAGGATAGAATAATTATGCACAATGGCAACATTGCCTTCTTCACAACGACGAACGGAACACCGGTAGATATAGATGCAAAAGAACTCGCTGACAATAACAAGCTACCCACCATTACCGACGCAATTCTCGGTAGAGTGAAAATTACTAAAATGGTAAAAGATATCTAATAGCATTACCCGTCAAGGAGATAATATCGTATTCAATTAGAATACTTAGATGAAGTCCTTCACTCTCTTCTTGACGCGGCGATTGAATTAGAGTAAAAATCATTGCGTTCACTAAAGGACCAGTGGGTGATATACTCTGGGCCAAACGAAAAATGGTAAAACGAAAAATTCATTCAATCTTATTATATTAAGCGAGACTAAAATTATTGTACTAAAGCATGAAATAGTAATACCTAAGGAGATTGAACGAATAGGCATTATATATGAAAGCCACTCGACACCGTTAGGCGGACACAAAGGTGTTTCTAAAACTTTTCTAAGAATTAGACAAGTATTATTGGCCGAACCTGAAACGAGACATACAAAATTTTATACAACAATGTAAAAGCTGTCAGACGAAGAAGCTCGTCAGACTAAAAACTCACCAACCAATGACTATCACCGATACGCCCGGGAAGGCGTTTGATAAAATATCAATGGATATTTGTAGGTCCACTATCGACCACAAAATCCGGGAAAAGCTATATTCTAACAATTCAAGACTTCTTACAAAATATTCGATGGCAATACCTCTTCGACAAGCTTCTTCGGAAGAAATAGCAGATACGTTTATAAAAAACGTAATATGCCGATTTGGCTCTCCAAAAGACATCTTAAGTGATCAAGGTTCTAATTTTGTCAGAATTGATAAAAAGCAGTTGCTAAGAAGTTTGAAATTCATCAGAACCAAACAAGTGCGTATCATCCACAGTCGAACGGTTCGATCAAACGATCGCATCTCGTTCTTATCGAATTCCTAAAACATTTCATTACCGATAATAGTGAATGGGACGAATGGATTGAAATAGCTATGTTTTCATACAACACTAGTGTACACGAAGGAACACTATACACATCGCATGAGTTAGTATTAGATCAACTAGCACGAACACCTAATGAATCTATATATAACGATCTACAAAACGAAACTTATGCACATTACTTAGGAACTTTAAATGAACAAATAAATAAATCTCAAGAAGCTGCAAAACAAAACTTTATTAATGCTAAAAACAGATCGAAAAAGTATTATGATAAAAAGCAGAGAGTCGTAGATTTCAAGGTAGGAAACAAAGTACATTTCCAGAAAGGGTCACAAAAGGATAAATTCGACGACAAATACATAGGATCGTTCAAGATAGTAGAAATATTAAGCAAGCATAATATAAATATACGTACTGATATTGGCGACCGCGTGGTACACGCCAATAGACTTAAAGTCGATAAATCGAAATAGTAGTCGACATCATGGAAAGCTATGATACCGATAAACGGGTCTTTCCAGCGTAGCATGGTGCAACGATCGCTTTCTCTTGCATGATGACAGTTGGTAAAGGTGGTTCCTCACTATAGGTTAAGGAAATTAGAATATAAGAAGTTGCGAATGTATCAACGACATCAGTTGCCTTTTCGACACTCTATGTGGTAGAATAGATCAAAATTCAACGCATAATGTATCCAATAAAAATATATTTGTATACTTACCCTAGCGAGATCAACACTAGCATTAGTAGTATATGATTGCGCCACGCAATCCTTAAACATCACATACTCTCTTTTGGATATCGCTGACTGCGAGATCTCGAATTTACTACCGATCTACAACACTGTGAAAGTTCTACAATGTCGTGTAGAAACGATATTCCACTGTAGCATGCATTCACACACATCCATCGTTCACAATGGACGTCGAGAATATTTGTTCACGCTTATGTATCAGTTGTGCCAACAGTTACATTCTACAGGCATTCTCTCTCTTGGACCAAATGTCTTTATCTCTGGCATAAAGAAGAACAGCACTGATACAAGGAGCATCACTTTGAGTGGTACCGCGACAACAGATGGCACTTGTAAAGGCTCCCAATATAGTGACTTTTACGAAACATGGGACGACGTAGTGATACAAGCATCTGTCAAAATCACGCTACGTTTCATGCTCTCATTTTCTTGATATAAGTTATAGCCACGATTGTTTTCAGTACATTTATTATGCCATCATCACCGCGTGTTCTCGCTGTAACCAGAGGGATGCTGTATCGCTGGTGCTCAGAAAGGTCACGATCCGCTTGCTTTTTCATGTAAGGGCCAATGTATTGTCCTTCTTATAAGCCACAGTCGATTTTGATGAAAATATAGTTTTTTTTTTTATTGCAGCTGGCAAGTATTTTCGAGTTGGCATTACAATACCCGTTAAATGGACCTTTAGTTGGAGGAGTTCATTAGCAAGAGGAATATTTGTAAAGTTTCAATCAGTGTACAAGTGATAAGCACTCGGAATGTTGTTCAAAAGTTTTTTAACTAATGTTAATGGAATTCGAGAGCTAACCGGAAGTTCTGGTTTCTCCAAATTTGCCGTTATCAAGCTTCCATAATAGGGCAAAATCGAGTATACATAGCCGGTTTCCCCATCCGCTAATACGTAAATTCTTATACCCCATTTGGTCGGTTTCTTTGGGTTATATGTTATAAATTCAATTTTTCCCTTGAACTTGACAACTGATTCGTCGATACAAATATCCTTACCAGATATAAAATATTCCGCAAACTTCGTGTCAGTATACTGCAAAAAGTTGTTTGCCCTTCCAATCCGGGTTCTCAAAGATGTATTGGAAGATGCATTGCCTTGTAAATGTAACATCCAGAAAATTTGGCGGAATCGGTCTCTGCTAAATACTTTCGAATAGAAAGGAATTTTACTGTTGCTACTCGTTGTCCAATATTCCGATATGCTTGCAAGTGGCATTGTTCTCATGTTGAGAATTACCCCGATGAAGACCATAAATTCTTCACGTGTAACGTCCACCCACGAATGCCAAATAGACATATTGGCCAACTGTTTCTCACGTATTTTCATTTGTGCATATTCATTTGTCGTTTTTACAATTTGGTCTATCAATAAATTAATTTAATATAATTTGAAAAAGTCCAATGGGTTTGCTACATTCTGAGGTATTTGTGGTCTTACCATTCGCGGAGTTTTGAAATTGAAAGTAAAACGTAAATCGTCGTTTTTTTCTGTGACGTCCTCCCATTCGTCACTTTTACTGGAGTGTCCTATTTGTTCTAAATGTTCTTCATCATCACCTTCGCTATTCTCCACGTCACTTTCAATTCTTAGTACATTCCGTCTCTTAGGAGGAACTATGTACTCGTCACTATCATCACTGTCATTATCAGATACTAAATCGTACGTTAAATTTCTCATATTTTCATTATATGCTTCAAGTTCCAACCCATCATCACTACTCTCATTACCTTGCGAATCATTTCTAAACCCTTTCATTTTTGCGAATTACATTGAATTTTTAAAATTTTGACACAAATTTTATTATGTTCGCAGTACTTTTTGATAAAATTGATACTTTTGTAAAATAAGGTGTGTGATGTACACAATGACTAGCTTTTTAGCGATCTCAATGTTTTTCGAGAGCTTATTCGAAACTGAATGCCTGTAAATTTCTCTAAAGAATTATGCATTGTTATCTCGTAAATCGACCGAAACATTTGAATCACGAGGCATAGGGGACAATAGTGTTTTGTCACTTTTGCGATGTTCGAAGGTGTCCGCTGCGGGGTCATTGACTTCTACGACTATTTAGAAATGTCCCCGCTACGGAGACACCGACCGCAAAGGGTTAATCCATTCATGCGCGTCACTAATTAGATGACAAGGCATTTGGCTATTTTTTTTTCTTTTTTTTTTTTTTTATAAGGAGGAAATGCATTACGTATACCATCAGATCAGATCTTTAGATTATGTGGGACTACAACAATTTGATACCCACTAAAACCTCCTTGTCACTACTTTATTGCTCGTTGCGGATTTAGATATTATGGGGAACGGATACTCCAAAAAGAATTACAAATTTCAGCCTACTCCATTTCTTTGTGTCACAGATGTTCTCGTGACTATAGGACGAGACATAGTTGTTCTCGTGTTAAAAATATTAAAAACATGAAGACCACCAATAATGACTCTAGAAGATATTATTTTCAAGTCACTTTTCTTAATAAGATTATTGTCTAGTAGATTCTTAGCTGAGTGTGAACTCCACATACCATGATTATTAATACCAAAGACACTAACATCTTTAACCCGATATCGATCCTTAACCAGTTGCATCATTTCGCGGTCATCATATTTCGAGATTTTCTCCACATCAGCGCGAACAGGGTTATATTTATCGCTTATAATTTAAGTATCAAGCACACAACATTTATCAGTTTTAGTTGTCACAATGTCTGGTTTCTTAAGGCCTTGGGATGTCCTAATCTTCGGCTTCACATCAATTACAAAGTTATTATCTCTAAGTTTACCGACAACATATTGGGAGACACAGTCATGTCTATGAATTCCTAGCATCATGAGTATGACGGCATTGTTGCAAGATATGATTCTGTGTTTCAATACAACCACATCCAGCTCAGCACGAACGATCTTTAACTCTGCCTCGCGAAGTTCGAGACTTAGTAGGTAATGTATTAATACACAATCTACAAGAATTGACATAGTCTTTTCCGCTCAAAAATTTCGTTCCATCAGTAACCCAATCATGTTGGTTCAAAACTTTTTCAGAATCGGCCAGTGCTCTACCATCAAAAGAATCAGCCAGCTTTTTACGCCACATTTTCCTCAAATCACTATGACAACTAATCTGGAGACCACCACTCTTTAATACGTTCACGCCGGGGCCAATTTTCATTTTTTTTCCTATGAAGCGGCGCTCGAATTAATATCGCGCTTCATCTGGCGGCGCGTGATTATTGCCTGTTCATCCTGGCATTGCAAGGGTCAACAAAAACTTTGCTTGAAATGTTTTAACAAATTACACAAAAAACAATAAATAATGAAGTTATAAATGAAACAGTATCAGATTTTGTGTTATTTTTACCGTATTTGTGTTTTTTTTTATAATACTGTATTATTATGTTTATGTTATTAAACAAAACTTATGTTTCTGATACATTATTAATTATAATTACTATTAAAAATAAATGTTTTTAATGAATAGACGTTAAATTGTCATTATTTTAATTTTCAGTGTATAATAGTTTAATACTTCAGAACACAATGGAATGTGTTCCGCCGGTGATCAGCACCATCCGATGAGACAATCTAGTGCGGGTTACCAGTGGCTCGCGCTGGAATGAACGTGTTAATCTCTTATCACATTACCGCACGGTCGGGTGCGTCAGCTGAGTACCTTCGTTTCTCTTCGTTGAGGGCGGTAGCCTCGGGTGCCTGGGGGTGTTTTCTCCCTCTTTACTCTTTTGCTGAGGTGGAGGAGGAGATGTGTAACCGAACTCCATAGTGCTTCTAAAAGGTGTAAGCTCCATCCATATATGTCATGTAATGCCTACCCATGGTTGAGCGTATCAATGATGAATTTGATTAATTGAATGGTCATGGAGATGGCTAGGACTCCGGCGCTTGTCAATCCAAATTTTATAAAGGCGTCCTAAAATCTTTGTGCCGTACTTGATGTGATCTTATTTAATGACTCTTCATCCATCAGGTTGTACAAAGAGATTTTGGCCGAAGTTATATGCATTCCACTAATTCCTCTAGCGAGTGTGTCGATGAGAGCAGGTTTCTCAGCTGGTTCCATTATATGCGATTTTAGTTTATTTAGATCTTCATTCGAATAAATACTACTTATTTCTAGGTGTTCGGGGTCGATGTACCTCCATCGTGGCTTTGTTAATGATTGAATTACTGGAGAAGATATTGATTCGACTAATTTGGGAGTTACCCTGTACCATGTTCTATATTGTTCCATGTCAATTGTACGTATTGGGTAATAGCTTATTGCAATCCTTTGGAGAAGCTTGTTTCATAATGATGCGTGTCTTAGGTACCAGAAAATATGAGTCTTCGGTTTGTCTGACTTTTATTTCCACTGGAACACATTTTGGTGTATATTACCTCTGCCACGTACCCCGGTTGCTTCATTAATGCATAAGCCATTTTTTCGGGTGCTATTGTTGCCAAAGAGAGAGCGTTTTTAAGAACTTGCTGCTCTACACGCATTTCTGTCGTGTAATATCGACGTATAGTTAAATTATTTGCGGCTTAAGATGCCTTTCCACGTAGGTGAATTTTGAATTTACGTAAGCGAAGATGTCCATGTTCTCTACGGACGTCTTCGTTTTTCCTTTGAATGTTCTCCCAGGTGATGCTTTTACGATGAATAACTTAGGATGTTCTGTTTTTATTATGGAATATCCGCATGGAAC